GATATGTTTTTTCAAAGTTAAACTTGCATTCATTTTACATGGCTTTCTAAACATGTGGCTCTTTTGTGCGAGACACGAGTCCAACGGTGATAGATGTCCTTCTAGAAAATACACGAAGTATGCGTTCTGTGTGAACGGCTTGGTTTCAGTTTTGACGTAAACAAGATCTTCTTCGCATTGATGTTCTCTTTTCCCGCAATATTTGTAATTAACAATGCAGCAGCGCCGCATCTAGTGGCTTCAAATGGATAAGCTAAAAAAAGCATTAAAATGCAATGACACTTACATCGTCATCGCATCTCGTGCGCCACTGATAAGGCTGCCTGACGCACACCTAAAATTTGAATGCAACGTTTTTGCATTCGAATGTGGATTTTTATTTTAAATTCGACGAATATTCGAAATTCTAATTTTTTTTTGATAGCCCTAGTGGATAGTGACCTCGGGCTCTACAGATGACCAACCGAACAGAAAAAAAAGAGACTACAATCATAAATTATCTGCCAAATGAAAAGCAAATAAACATTTCACTTTTCAGGTAAAGGGATCATTTATCCAAAAATGAAAATTAGAGAAGGAAAGCCATACAAATTTTAAAAAATACAGATTTCAAAAGGGGGGTTTTCATAGCAATGCCATAGAAGACAAATTTTGGGTTTGCCAAAGAATCTTTTAGTGAAGAGTTCTTAAAAGAACCATTTTTTTCCTAAAAGTGAAAAACATTTTAACAACCTGAAGATCCCTTTATTCCCTATAAAATAAAATTTTGTTTAAGGTTTCATTGATGTTACAGATTCGTCATGAAACCATCAAGGCCAGTAATGACTCTCAGTTGTTCCAAGCCTGCACTCTTAAAAATAATGGTTAAGTAAATGATGACAGACATTTCATTTTTTCAATTCCTTTAATGCCTTTTTCAAAGTTCAGGACTGAGTTTTTATATATCAGTCTGTGTGCATTGAATTTATTTAATACACGAGTTTCACAATTTGAGTTGAATTACTGAAATAAATGAACTTTTCCACGACATTCTAATTTATTGAGATGCACCTGTAATTGAAATAAAAAGTAATAGAAAAAGTAAAAGACTCATTTCTTATTTTATTACAGACAGTAAAAATGTGAAAGTGAAAGAAATTAAACTCAACCTAACAACTTTGGAGAGTAGAAATAGGACCAAAACGGAGTGGAAAAATCTGATACACTCAATATATATTTATAGTCTCACATTTAATCTCACCAAATAGTCTTTGTTGTATTTTCTGTTTTTGTAGCACTCACTATGACAAAACATAGTGTCTCACAGGTCCACATAGGCTTGAGTCAAGACAGAAACCTGAGACTGCAACAAACATCAGTTAAATCTGCACTTCCCTGATTTATATCTTTTCCAGATGCAACTTAAGAATGGGTCAAATCATACATCACTCCAAATGAGCTGCCTCCTGGGACAGGGATGCTGCGAACAAAATGCACAAAATAAAATAACCTGGTACAGTAAATTGTTACTTCACTCTACAATTTCTAGAAAACGCTTTGGTGGTCATTAATGGCATGGTTTCACCATACAGACAGTGAGTAATCCTGCTCATTATTTAGCACGGTGTACATAATAAATTCTCGGTGGTAGTCTGTAAGATCTCTCTCTGTGACAGAGTACCCAGATGGAACCATACTGTTGTTAACAACTATGGCTGCATTGTTTATTTATGCCTATGATTATATAGAACTGCACAAGCATAAATTTTATAACTCTCTACATTAAGATTAAGAATTCATTTAACACCCACCATTCTACAAACAGTAAAGGTGAAGATATAAGTCAGTTTCTCCAGTCTTATCATCTCATTAGGATGCATGACACTTTAATTGAATCAAAATCATTTTTATGTCTGCATCAGCAGTGTCCTCCTCCATCATTTCACTGCCTTACTCTCCCATCTGGAAGCCTTTCTTTAATCATCCTTCCCAAATCTTTCAAATCGTCCTCCACAGCCCGCGACCAGGCACTAAAGTTTGCTCCAGGATACTAAGTGCACATAGCCCGAAGAACCCCTCCCCTCCATTGCCGCCACCCCCAACTCAGCCTGTTCTGAGCTTTAGTGTGGCCGCCACCACCAACAATACCTTTCTTTGTCAGCTTTGCATAATTCATGCACTGCACTGCTCTCCCTGAGCCCATCCCAGCCACTCGCTTGCTGTGAGACAACGGGAAGAAAAAATACAGATGGGAAACAAGGGCATGCTTCCATTAGCCGTGCCTGTTCCCACACTACACTGCTGCACCCCGGGATAGTGCCACCATTGTCTGGGGGTCGTCATTTTCACCACCCCCACATCACGGCGAAGATGCGACACAGCAGACACAGATGTGCACATGCCTGGAGGAAAAGACATCCACTTGTGTTCCCCTTTTTGAGTATTCATGACCTCAAGGCTGTGCTTTTCTTGGACGCGTTTGGAGTAAGAGGTTTGCCGGTGAGATTTAATTTAGAGCATTAACGGTTATGTCTGATATTTTGTCTAAAAACATCAACTAGGATGTGCAGCTGCCTCAGAGATGACTAAATGGTTTGAGTGATCCCGAATTATTGCTTTAAGACTAATAAGACACCCAGTATTTTCTTAGACTGCATAATAATGCACAAAATTACAAGATGACGATGTCCTTAATGGTTGTTTTGAAAAAGTATTTTAATTACTGCACTTGTAATTAAATGGGCAATTTATGCATGAAAACGTGTTTCGTCATGGGCCTTAAAACGATTAAGCAAAACTTTTACAATTCTCCTCATGTCAGCATTTGAAGATGTGGGCACCGAGGTTATATAGGTCATGAATGATAGCACACTCAATATCAGAATACAAATATCACAGGTTCTTCAAAAAAAAAAAAAATTCACTGAAATGTCTCACACGGCACTACCATGTTTTTTTTTTTCCTTACGCCCTCAGTTCTGAAGATAACCTCATGCTTCTGCAGCTGTATGATTCATAAGAGTTTCATCATAGGAGGGTGAAAATACTTTTTGTGCAGGTTTCTGAATATACAGGCATTCAATATGCATGCATTTAAGTTGCACTGGGTCAAAATTGCATTGATGACAGAAAAAAAACAACAACAACCAAACAAACAGATCAGTCACATTTGTGTATGTCACATTGTTACATTAAGAAATAATCTAAAATATCTGTAAATAAAATGAACAATTTACAAACAATAAATGTATAAACACTATAAACATGTATTTTAATTCTCCTCACACAACAAATCCTTAAAATTCAATGCTACTCAGAACAAAACAGTAATAAAAAATATAAGTATAAAACAAACACAAATTATAGTGGCAATCCCATTCCTACAATCATTTATTTAAAGTGAAACTGAAACTACCAGCGTGTAGAAAATGTGTTGTACAAATAAACGTGGGCTCATATAGGCCTACGTATCTCATTCAGCTCAAATCTAAATGTGTGCACTTTGGGCAATGTATAAGTCGCTTTGGAATATAAAGAAATAAAATGGATAAAAGTAATGTTTTCTGTTTGTGCATGTTTCTGGATAATATGTATATATTAATATATCCAGAAACATGCACAAACCGGTACTTTTATCTATACATTCACACATATCCACATACATTCAGTACATAAACATTCAAAATAGATCAACAATGTTTACAAGAATGCAAACATTTTGATTGTTTGCATTATGACCAACAGTGTTCCCTTGAGAGGTGATGGAAGTTTTTAGATAAACACAGTGTCTTGTAAAGCTAAATGCACAGACTGTACAGAATGCAATGTTTTGTGGTTACATAAACCAAGTTTTCATTGACTTGATAAGTTGAATGAAAAGAGAGAATTGACAGGGGAAGGCTCAGGTGTAACATTCAGCAGTATTGAACAAATGTGGTGACAGCAGAGGAAAGCAAATGAACAAACCAATTTGCCTTGACTTGATATCAAGTTGAAGAATGAAGGGAAAGTAACTTTGGTATCAACATGGTGGATTTTCTTGATTACTTTTTTTAAGGAACATTTTTATCAGTAATCACCTGAAATGGGTTTCACCTCAAATTATACAGTGACATTGGCCTTTCCGCTTAGCTGTTTTTCCAAGTATTCAGCTGCAAACAAACCTAATCACACCACACTAGAAATTCCTAATCCAAATGAATGTACTCCATCCTGAACTGAATTTT